TATCCTGCAGAGGTCCAAAAGACCCTTCTGCCCCCCTGAAAATGCTGCATTGGGGAATTGGAGAGCTCCTCAAAGGGGGGAAAACCCATGGAAACCCAAATACTCAATATTACAAGTATTGTAAATACTGAGTAAGTCCTTCCTTACTACTATTCCTGAAGCACAGCTTTTTCTTCCCCATCCTGTAAGAGCTGTGTGACGATGAAGTTAATTATGTGCTTCACCTTGGTTAATGATCGGAAAAAGCTTTGAGGTGACCTGCAAGTAATGGCTGAGCTGATGAGTCATAGCAGACAACCACCCAGGACCATAAAAATAGTTATTACAACCAGCAAGACATGACTAGGTGTAAAATATCTTTGGGAAAAGTTTGAAAGATGTCTGGAGAGCATACAGCATGTGAACATTCTGCAGAGATTTTCTATTTTCATCAGTCATTATTTGTATTCCTTCATTTACCTGTTTGCATACTGAAAATATGACCATGGAAAAGAGTTGTCCAGGGAGAACAAAGAAGTGACCAGAAGGGGAAAGAGGGAATTAATTTCCTGCCCAGCAAAAACAATATAGTAGAAAAACACAAATCAGGACAATTTAGACTGTTCAATAAATACCAGTGACACTCCTAAAGTTTGGAAACTTGGGTAGGTCTCAAAGTTTCTATACATATCCAGAGTTTATAGGAATAATGTTAATGTTTTAATCCCTACGTGTATTAGAAGGGCCAAAAACTTAATTTGAAATAAAGAAACCTCAAGCTTTTTGGCAAAAGAAAAACAAAAAATCTATTTCTGAAAGACTGGAATTTGGTATCCTAAATGGTGAGATTAAGGTATTTTTTTAATCCAGGGTCTCAAAAGCACTCAGTGTTGGCCTAACTCTACTCCCATTGAAGACATCATGCAACCATAAACTATATTGTCCTTTCTGTGCTCCCAAGCCACATTACACATAGTTTTCAACAAGATGTCCATTATTATCTTGTGTTTCTTTCAGCATTGCTGCTTTCCAGGTATCTCCCTCCATCTGTGTTTGTGTCCTCCCACATGTAGAACCTTGCAGTTTTCCAAATTCAATCTCATTCTGCTGGTTTCTGCATTTTTCTAACCTCTCTAGGCTCCTTTGAATTAAAGTGACTTCACTGATGATTGCCAGAGTCATACTGTATTCTCAGCCTGTTCACTCACTTGTCTGTGCTGCAAAAGATGTATTAACAGATGAGGTACTATTTCTCTGTTCCGCATAGCTGAGATTGATTCCAGAGAGGCTATTTGCTGCTTCGCTTGTAGCTTATACCTAGGAAGCCCAAGTGTCCACTCTGAGTGGGGTAGGCCTATGAGGAAAGTCCAATGGCACATTTTGAGAGTACTCAGACAGAGATAGCTGTACAACGAGAGAACTATCAAAGAGTTCAAGCACGCAAAGCTCTGCTTTGATAAACAGCTTTCAGTGACACCCTGGGTGGAGTAAGTGTTACAGTTCTCAGGAGTATACCTTGGGAAATCCATATATATATACTGGAATATATTTTATCTACTTGTATCTCTTTTCTTCAAAGTCCATGTTTATTTTCTTGCTATTTAAGAGTCACACCATGTTTTTGTAAGATCTCCTTTATCCATGTTGAGGATATTAAAGTTCTATATGTATTTATAAACTCTGTGTTGATCAAGAGCTTTAAGGTAAATTTGGACTGAGAAACTGCAAAGATTACCCCCACCACAGGGGGAACTGAGCTGAGTATTACTATGTATTGAAGTTTTGGACCTATGTATCAACCATGCTGCAGTTACTTTCCAAACATTTGGACATCTTTGAACACTGGAATATTTTTGTCAACGTGCAGGCTAAGTGACAACTGTGCTTCTATGGCATAAGAGAATACTTAGCTAGCATGTTTGGCAATAATGACTCCAGATACCACAGCTTTTAATACTGTTAATTCAGCATTGGGAGTAACAAATCTGGAATGCTATATTTTTTACAATAAGGCATGAGGATGCCACCTATTGGAGGCGGGGAGGGTTATAACATTGATTAGCTGGTTCTCTGTGGTAGGTCCCAGAAAGTATGGACTTCTTGAGAGGTTATCAGGGGAATGATACCCCAGCTAGAAAAAGATTGAGTATGCAGGTAGAACTGTGCTCATGCATATCTGTGGTATTGTAGATAGTGGATCTAAATCACCACTGCTTGACACCTCGTGCAAAGTGTGTGTGTGGGGGGGAAACGCTACCAACTCAAAATTCTCCACTCTGTTAAGTAGGTGGTAGCATCTGATGCTTACTTTGCCCAGGTGCAAATAACTATACAAGGTGTAAGGCAGGGGAGCCTCAGGCCTGGAGAGAATTTCCAAACACACACATTTTTGTGTTTTCCTTTTTCATCTCAGAAGTTGGTGGAGTTGAAGTAAGACACTTTCAAGCTGAGAGTGAGAGACTCAGTATGACGCATGTTATGCATCTCTTTAAGAGGTTTATGGATCAACAGAGTTAGTCTCTGCACTTCATGGCTGCTTAAAAATACCTACAAAAATGTAAACTACAGCATGACATAAAACAGCTGAATAAAAACCAGTTGATCTTTTATATAAAGCAGAGGATAGAAGACAAAGTTTTCAGACTGGTATTTTACAGTTTTCTATTGTTGTGTGTGGGATGTGATCACAGTCATGCAATTTGTTTTATTTCCACTAAAAGATATATTTAAATCAAAGTCACATTGCTCCATCTGCTTGCTTAATCTGATATCAAGGCATGGATATATAAAAATGTCCTAGTACTTATTTCAATCAGAGCAGAGCTTTTATGTGCGTTAGCTGGACAGAACCTTCAATCACCCATCTCTTTCACGTTGTCTTTTGTTGACAGTCTAGGCTCTGATTGTGCAGCTGTTCTACATGCAGAGCACCCACTGAAATCAAAAGGCATTTCACATACAAAGTAGAAAAAGGTTGAGGTACTTATATGGGCCTTTCCCGTAAAATAGAATCTAAGAGATAAAATAAAAAATGTTAATGATTTGGGATCTTAAACATTGTTTTTAAAGGCCTTATCCAAAGTCCATTGAAGTCAAAAGAAAAAGATCTGTTCACCTCAATGGGTGTTAGATCAGGCCCTAATAGAATGAGTCACAGACCTGGTGAAGTCCCCCTAGTGGCAGGTCGCTAGTCTCTTATCACTGGACCCAAACTTTGGATCCCAAGGGCTTCCAAGCCATCTGCATCTGGGCAGAGTCCAGTCACTGCTTCTGTCTGTGAGGCTCCTAAGGCACTTTCCCAGGGTCAGACCTCTTGATCTGGAACTCTTTGTGGGAAGAGGGACTCCACAGTTCAACTGTCTTAAGCCCCAAAGCCAGTACTGAGACCTCTCAAGCCTCTTATTTACACTCTTCCAGAGACCCACTGTGGTCACTCTGGTTTAGAGTTGAACCCCTCAGGGACCACATACCATTTAAAGCAAGGAAAACAGGCTTTTTACAGGAACTTCTTAAACATACACACTTTGATGTTTAGACCGCACAGTAGAGTCATCTATGCAGAATGACCAACTCCCCGCTCAGAGCCCTCAGCACTCCTGAGAATATTTTGAATTTGGTCAATGTCCTTGGGGGAGCCCTCTGGCTTTACTCCTCCAGTAGAGCTTTCTCTTGTGAGGAAAGAGTGCTCTTGCCAGGAGAACATCACATTTAAAAGCAATCTCTGCCACCATTTCTGTTTCTCTTCTTCTGCTGGGGATTTTCCATGCTCCAACCCCCATTGGCTGCTGTGCAGATGTCCTGAAGATTAGACACATAGTACGGGAATGGGGTTAGCATTTCAAATGTGGGTGCCCAGACAACACCCCATCATTAATCTATTTTCTTTTGCTCACTTTGAGCAAATTCCTTGTTTCCAACAATGCCAGATAAATAGAGGACTTAATTTTCAAGCATCATCTCCACAACCACTAAGCTCTCTTTGAGAAGGAGAGAGACAGCCTCATGGGGTGTGTATATACTGAACCTTTGGCACTCACTAACATGACCAATCTGTCTGTTCTTCAGCTGTCAGTGGTATGACATTTTAGAGGCTTTCCTCCCTCTTAAGAGTGATTTATTAGCTAGTTCAGAACTTCACCCATGATGGATAGATGTAGGATGCATACTTTTTTCACTTCTGTTACCTCTGAAATGCCATCAAAAACAAAGGCAGACAATTCAAGGATTAAAATCTCTCTCTTCAAGGCTTTGTTCATACACTTTGGGGGATCATTATGTGCTTCTGGGTTTTTTGAAGAGACCGATATTATTAATACCCTGGGACTATAAACGTTTATATAGACAGCCTGCAATGATGTGAATGCAATTGGTTTTGGCCCCTTTGAGGCCCATGAGTGCAAACCCTAGTACACATCATGCTGTGTCTTGAGTAATATTTTAGGTTTTACTCTGTAGGTAAAAAACTATACTTGAAAGTGAAGGCTTTATTATGTGCATGCAAAAAATGTGGCCAAGAGCTGAAATTTCAGACCTTAGGGATCTGATCTTGCTTCCACTGCAGTTAATGAAAAAATCTGTCTGTCTACGTTTTTATGTTACCCATCATAATGGCTTCTGAGTTCTTATTGTCTTACATGCGACCAGGATTTAAACCCTAGTGACTATATAAAAATTGAAACATAGAAGTTTTATAGTCTTGATTCTTACACAGACTGAAAATTTTAGAATCCCTGTTACTAAAAAAAAGTACACGTTTATATTAGTCAGGTACTTATTTGAACATCTCAGACTATGCGGATCTGGATCCAAACTCCACAGTTGGCTCCTAATTACAATTGGCCAAATTAAATCAGAATACTCCCAGTTCTTGGAGAATGTTGTTCCAGAAAACGTTGGGGTTCAATCTCATCTTTAATTTAGTCCATGATTTCTGATTTAATACGTTTTGTGACAATATATACCAGCAAAAATTAAATCCTCATTCAGCTGTTTTTGGTAAATATATATATATTTTATTACAGGTACAGTTTCACTTATATCTTTGGCAGTGCTCTCTTATGAACGCTACTGTACAATGATGGGAACTACAGAAGCAGATGCCACAAACTATAGGAAAATATGGATGGGAATCTTCTTATCATGGATGTACTCTTTATTTTGGACCTTACCACCCCTTTTTGGATGGAGTAGCTATGGACCGGAAGGACCAGGGACAACATGTTCAGTAAACTGGCATTCAAGGGATGCTAACAATATATCGTATATCATATGTCTCTTCATCTTTTGCCTTGTAATTCCTTTTTTCATTATTGTTTACTCTTATGGGAAGCTGCTATGTGCTATAAAGCAGGTAAGTACATTTTTAAATATTCTTTTATTTTACTGTAAACATGAGCAGAAACCAACATAGGTTGTCTAAATTTCATAGCTAATGTACATTGGTTGGTATTACAGTGGTGGACATCACAAACTTATGAAGGACACTGAATTGGACACCAGGTCCAATTTAATTCAGTTTCTTTTTGACAGTGGCATAAGTGCTTTGCTGCATCAGGGCCTAAGCACATGGTTAAATGTCAGCGCTTGACTAGTCCCAAGGAAGTAGTCTCGTTGTAGCTGAGGAGGATCAGGGAGGCAGCAAAATTAGCTCCCTCAGAAGCAAGTACGTTTTAGAAATAGAAATGTATGAACAACACACTGAGATAAGAGGTAGAGTCAGATGTTTTTAAACAAAATGTGCTCTGTGCTGATGCTTAATGTTTTTCCTCTGTAATTATGTCTGGGCTGAACACATCCAGTAAACACACTGCAGATCTATAGGGTTTTTCAATTTAAAGTTTGTGTTTACATATATATTTACAATAATAAATCAGTAGTATGTATATATATTTTGCATACATGGAAAATATGGACACTGTGGATGCTGCTGCATCACAATTTACCCAAGACAGCAAATCTCCACCAAGGGATAAAATCTGCACTTGGATATGTATGGAAGACTGCTGCTTAGTAGTATTCTTTGAATACTAGTCCTGTCCAAAAATGGCACCTTGCTGAACATTTCCTCTTCCCCATCTCCCTCTAACCTCTACGCATAGCCACCACCATTGCCTTTCACACGATTTTGTCTTTCTTAGAAGGTGAGTCTTCAAGTCAACCTACAATTCACTGAGTTGCACCTCCTCCAGTGTATCTCTGGAGACTAGCTTAGGACCATCAGCGAATGTTGGGTGTTTATTGATCTTCTAAAGAACATCAGTCTCTCTAAATCTGCTTTTTTTTTTTTTGACTGATAACTATGTGAGAACACACACAATGTGGTGTCTTTGCTCCTCAGGCCAAAGAGATTGAAAACATTTCCTGTTCCATTCATTGTTCTCTACCAAGTACAATGTCAAATTAGTTTGAAAAATGGGAGAGTGATTTAAAAATAACAACACAGACTTACTTATTAAAAGACCTTTCACTTTTTCAAACTAATCTTTTTTTGTTTTAGGATGGAAATTAGATTTTAAACCAGGGAATACATCTATCTTCTTGTCAGCAATTCCTTTTCCTTATGCTGCCTTAGACAGGTGGTGTGAAATATTCCTCTCTTTACCACTCTCAGTGCACAGTCCTCTTGGTAAATTATTAACCTGGTTCTTTTCTTTTTCTGCTCTCTATAAATGTAGCAAACTACCTGGACTTGATGTTGTTTTCAGAGCAATGTTCTTTTGAGGGACATTGTGGAGATAGTGGACAAATAGGGCAATAACTCACCTCAACAGAGGTTTGGTTGATAAACCAGAAAGGCCTGCATAATCTGAGAGGTTAGGAACAAAAGAAATCTCCTGAGAGATTTGTCTTATGCTCAGACTCTGGCTCAAAGAAAAGAGAATTCCCTGTTAGTAGAAAAGAGGAGATTAAAATTAGATGGATTTTACGTGGCATATACAAAAACGTGAGAAAACGGTGGAAGGCCCGAGTGTTGTTGAGGCAGCAATAGCTTCGCTGTTTACATTGCTAGAAAAAGAACATATACCCTGTGAAACATTAAAAGCACACATTTCCCAGTGGTAATAATTATGTTTCAGAGTATATGAGTTATTTATTTTCCTGACTTAAGGCAGATCCATTGCCAAGTATTTTACAGACTGAAATGTCAGGAGATCGGTCAATTCCCTAAGCAGCCAAGTTCAGTTCAGTGCATGCCATTTCTTGATAAGAATAAATCACTATTTCCCCTTCAGGGTCTATCTCCTTCATCCCATGCAGTGGGAGCCGGTGTGGGAGGAGGCAGAAGCTTATCCTCTCCTTAGTAACCCCCCCGTACACAATCCCTAAAAGTAAGTAGGCAGGGAGGTTGGGGCATCCAGGCCAGCTGGGATACAAGGGGAGGGGTTGGGAGACGTAGAGGAGGGGAGTGAATGGGACTGGGAAGCCTGAGAAGGATGGAGAATTCTTGGAAGTGAACAAACCTGGGGGAAGGGACAGATTAGGACATCTGTCCAGCTGCTGCCTTTGAGCCCTTTCTGTCTCACACAGCGTAGCCTTCATTCTCTATGCCCCATCCAATCTCTGCAGAGTGCCCTAGCCATAAGGATATTGGCTATTCTGTGGTGGGTCATGGGCTCCTGCTGGGGATGTTCCACTTGTAATTAAATATTCATTTGGTCAGAGACACACAATTGACTGTAGGTCATTGGTCAGGGCACTCACCTGGGATGCAGAAGACCCAGCCTCAAGTCCCTTCTCCCAATCAGATAGAGCACAGTCTTGAGCCGAGATCTACCACATCCCTGTTGAGTGCCCTAATTACTAGGGTCTCTCTCTCTAGAAGTTCCATTGTAAAAACTTTCCTGACAAAAAGTGTCCCTTTCCTGCAAAAAGTTGTTTCAGCAATTTGGCATTTTCCAACACAAAGTCATGCAACAGCTCTAGTAAATGTATTCTTGCATGCTACTTCCTCTTCTCCCAGCAGGACTCCTGCTCCCCCACTTCCCTTTCTCCATGTAAGGGCTCCATCAACATCTTCAGCCTTTTCTAAGCTCCAGTGAATGTTACCAGAGGTATCCGAATACATGCTAGAAGCTCAAGGAGTTCAGGTGAGTACTAAGGTACCTTCTTCCTGGCTGCTATAAACCCTCCTTCATCCCCCTACACTGACAGTCTAGGAAAATATCCAGCCTCCATAATGATATACAGATTAACGAGAGTCCTGGGGATTCAAGTTACAGGTAGGCATGAACTCAAAATTCAGATCCAGAACTGAATTGCCCGCCAAAAGCCTTTGGGCTTGGAACTTTCTCAGGGTTTTAGTTCAGGCGTGTTTAGCTAAATCATTGTGTAGCGCCTTGATGCCTATATGAAATGCTGCCAGGCTAGGTAAAAGTATTCACAATGATACTTTTTCCTGATCAATTCCATAACTAAAGTTTCTTTGAGACTTTCACTAAGGCAGCTTCTACTTTTTGTTGCAATATATATAAAACCTAAGTAGGTTGGAGGCATTAAAATAACACCCTGTGAACCTGTGAAAATCCCATTTACTAGATTGTTCTTGCCCTTTGTATTTTTCACTTCTTTGTAAAATTATATAGTTGAGTCTGAAGGACTGTACTCAGCAAAGTACTGGAAAAACCTGTGTATATACAGTTGCTATTATTCTGTTGTACATTACTATGGCTATAAAGAGCAAAATTATTTTTTATTTCAGTTGTTGGCACCATTTGGTATTTCCACATTGCTTAACTAAAGTTATTTAAGAATCTTAATTGGTTATTACATTGGCCTTTTATGCTGTATGACAAGGGCACCTGTCACACTTTGTGTTAGTTTAGCTTTTGGGCGTTTAGATGTGATTTCTGGAAAACCCCTAGTTTTCAAAAGGGTTTGCATTATACAACAGGATCCAACTTCAAGTCAACTCGAGATGTTAGCAAGTCAGTTTTAAATCATAGCAATGAGAAACCCCTGCTTTAATTTAATTTCAAACAGGATCCTGATTCCTGTTGTTCTTAACTAAAAAAATGTTACTGTAATAAGCGTGATATAAACTGCAATAAGACTACTGTATTTAAAAAAGTAACATGAAACAGGGGTTGCTCTCAAGTAACCTCCCTAAGGGGGCAGCGAAAACATTTGTTGAGCAGATGGGATCTTTAGCGAAAGGTCAAACAAAATGGTACAAGACACATTGGGAATACTTTAAAGTAAAGTGATGGTTTAAGACAAGGGGTTGCTTACTGGAAAAAAGGCAGATCATGCAGTTTCCACTGCACTAGAACTGGACCAGTGGCTTGTTATGAAAAGATCTATTGCAATGCAAAGTGGAGAAGGAATGACCCCATGTTCTTTCTATAAGCTCTCAGGTACATCTTGCTGATGGAAATATATCTGTGGGTCTGCCTATATGTGGGGCAGGAAGGAAGGGTGTGGTGTTTTGTGGAGGGGTGGAAGAGAGTGAAGAATGCTCATTTTGTGAGTGTTATTGTTTTCCCAACAACTACTTTAAAGTTCTCTATTGACTTTAAACAGTTTCACTTCACCTGGCAGTTATATTTTGGACAAGCCTGCCCCCACGAGGTAGTTAATATAGTATGTGTGGTTAGATTATCTCATTTAATTTGTGGTTTAAAGCTTTGGTGCAGTGAGGAGCAGGATGGAGAGGAAGGTTAGTACAGGCAGTGCCATATGCTGCTGCCGTGTTTTCATGTACTGGCTAATTCAGGTGATGATTAAAAAAGTGGATGGATGCTACTCAGAGAACCCTGAAACAGCCTTTGTCTGACACAGAGCGAGACAAGATGCTATCCCGGGGGTCAGGAGAGGGTAGAAGGTGCTATGCTCCTTCCATTGAGAAAAATACTTAGTGGTATGTGAAAATAGAGATTTGAAGGGAGAAAAGGTTGCTTGTGATGAAGAGGTACAGTAGAACCTCAGAGTTATGAACATCAGAGTTACAAAATGACAAGTCAACCACACACCTCATTTGGAAGCGGAAGTACGCAAACAGGCAGCAGCAGTGACAAAAAAAAGCAAAAGCAAATACAGTACAGAACTGTGTTAAATGTAAACTACTAAATTAAGGGAAAGCAGCATTTTTCTTCTGCATAGTAAAGTTTCAAAGTTGTATTAAGTCAATGTTCAGTTGTAAACTTTTGAGAGAACAACCATAATGTTTTGTTCAGAATTACAAACATTTCTGAATTATAAACAACCTCCATTCCTGAGGTGTTCGTAACTCTGAGGTTCTACTGTAAAGTTCAGTCAATCAATATCCTACTCTTTGGGTGCTGGATCCTGGAAGATCCTTGCTGTGGGAGCCAACCATAACTATGGGGTAAAAGAGAGAAGTTGGGTTGGGAA